GGGACTGGAGCAACAAAATGCATTTCCTCTCAAACTCTCCAATAACAAGCAGTTTGGAACAGCGAGGGAGAGCCTTCCTAAGGAAGAGCAATGCATGTAGCACTTGGCCATGGCTGTCTGTCAGCCAAGAGGCTGAGAAAAGGACCAAAGAGTTTGAGGATTAAATATTGGGACTAAGGGGTGAAAAACAGCACTGAACACTGATTAAACAGAATTGAACAGAAAAATTTAGTTTGGTAAACAAAAGGTGTGGCTGATACAATGAAGACCGTGACTCTGAGGAGGCAAATACAAGAGGAAAAGCAAGCGCTAAACAGCTGCTTTAAGGAGCCACACGCAAGTAGGGAGAAGCTGCCTCAAACCGAGAGGCTAGGGCTGCTGTGAGAACAGAGACATATCATTCAGGGATCATCACACACAACGTGAGAGGCAGACAGTGGCCTGGAAAACACAGAAACTAGAGAAGGGACCAATGCAGCTCTCGTGGAGATCCCTGATTCAGAGGATTGGGATGGAAACACATGAGAAGAGCCAGAATCACACAAGCCTGGCAACAGTAATAATAACGGTAGGAGGGGCCTGTTCCCCTCCACCATATGCCCCACTGCAAGAAGAGATCCATAATATAGGGAGCTGGCCAAAAAAACAAATAACATCTCCAGTTACCAAGACCACTGTAAAAACAGCCAACGCTAAAGATGGAGCCCAGCAAAGAACAAAGCAAATTGCTGTCACAGCAGGCTTCGTTCCATAATAGATTAAAGCTACAGCAGGTGATGGGTGCCCTAAAAACAGATACTCAGATTGAGTAGCTGGTTAAGCTGGATGGATGTCCTTGGCTAACAGTGGGATTGTACAGGTCTAGCTCAAGCAGCAGCCTCAGTGTCAGACTGGGAGAAATATCAGCTACATTAGCTGAAGATTCCCTGGTCGGTGATGACGCAGACTGATGGATGTGATGGATCATTAGGGCATTAAGGGGTCTTACTCTGACAGAGGCCAGATAAAAGTCCTGAAGTTTTTCTGTCCTAAAAGACTGCTAGGAGTAGCTTCAGGATTGGTCCTGTCTGGGAATGGGCAAGCTGGCTTTAACAAGGAGAAGTATCAGCCTCAGGAGCAGACGGCTTACTCAATGCCTTGAAGGTTGTATTAGGATCTGTAGACCCCATTAGGCCCTGCCATTCAGATAGAATTAGTGGCACAGATTCAGCAAGCAGGGATAACTTTGAGAGAGGCACAAGACTCAGAAGAACATGGCTGAGAGGACACTGGAACAAGTTCAGGGTGCAACATTTACTAGTAATGACTCCACATCATCACTGGGACCTGAGAAAGAAGACGTAAGTGCAAAACTCAGTATAAGGAAGGGTGTATTTCCCTCAAGTGGTGGAATACACTGAGGAATACACTCAGGTGGAATACAGTTAGTAGCCGATACAGGACCAAAAGTCCCTGGATACATGGTGAAACCCGTCCAGGTGATATGGACAGCTGGAGAGGTCTAGAAATGTGCACAAACACGGGGGAGGAATGCAGCCAGGAGCAGGGGGTTACAGGAAGTCCCTTCCTCAGGCAGAACAGGTTGGATTTAGATTTGGCTAAGTGGTGCATATGCTAATGGGGTCAGGCACAAGAGGAGGTGTATGAGCTATTCACAGTACATCCGTGTATTGCCCTTGAGGTATACCAGGAAATAAAATTTAGGGAACTGACAGACGGAGGTGAGTTTTCTGCTAGTATGGATCAAATTCAAGTTGTCTGGCAGATAGACTGAGGCCAAAGTACTGAGAGTAGGGCCAGATTTGAAGCCACAGTGTCAGCGTAAGTTCCTCCAGGAGGCCAAAAAAAAAACTAAGCCCCATGATACAGACTATGTCTAAGCAAGGGGTAATAGCCTAGTGTGGGTTATCATCCTGTGTGGCTGGTGTTAAAGGCAGATGGGAAAAAAAATACAACAAACCTCACAGACCTGAACCTTACAGACCAATAACTGACTTGCAAGCTCAAAGTCTAGCAATGCCCCTGTTTCTGTAGTAGCCACAATGCCCAGAGAAAGGCAGGAACTAAATAGTTCAGTGCCTTCTAGCCAGAGAGAACTGGTACAAATTTAAGTTTAGTTTTAAAAGTCTGTTCCAGCTAATGAGCGTGGCTGAGGAGAAAGAGTGCTTCATCAGTCCTAGCCGAAGCTGCAGAAACCCATGTACCCAAATGTCACTACTCAGTTATGTCAGTGCAGAAGCTGGTAACAGCTGCAATGGGTAGGTACACTGGTAAAAAAAGGAGTCACCTCCCAAGCAGGGTGGTGAGTATAACCAAAATGGAACTGTTAGTAAGACTGGCACAAAAAGGTGAGAGCAGTGCAAAAAAGTTACCCAGCATCACAGAATCACAGAACGGTTGAGGTTGGAGGGGACCTGTGGAGATCATCTAGTCCAACCCCCCTGCTCCAGCAGGGTCAGCTAGAGCATATTGCCCAGGATCACATCCAGACAGGTTTTGAATATCTCCAGCGAAGGAGACTCCACTACCTCTCGGGGCAACCTGTTCCAGTGCTCTGTCAGCCTCACAGGAAAGAAGTTTTTCCTCAGGTTCAGATGGAACTTCCTGTGGTTCAGTTTCTGCCCATTGCCTCTTGTCCTGTCACTGAGCACCACGGAGAAGAGTTTGGCCCCATCCTCTTGACACTCCCCCTTCAGATACTTGTACACATTGATGAGATCGCCTCTCAATCTTCTCTTCCCCAGGCTGAACAGGCCCAGCTCTTGCAGCCTTTCTTCATAGGAGAGGTGCTCCAGCCCTCTAATCATCTTGGTAGCCCTCCGCTGGACTCTCTCCAGGAGTGCCATGTCTCTCTTGTACTGGGGAGCCCAGAACTGGACACAGTACTCCAGGTGAGGCCTCACCAGGGCTGA